GAGGGGTTAATGGGATCAATAATGGATCAATAACGGATCAATAACGGATCGATGAGGTCACAGTGCCCCGTCAGCAGGGCGAAGACGTAATCCTCGCCCCCGTGCCTGAGGGGTTAATAACGGATCAATAACGGATCAATAACGGGATCAATAACAGATCGATAACGGATCGATAATGCATCAATAGCGGATCAATAACGGATCGATAACGGATCAATAATGGGATCAATAACGGGATCAATGGGGTCACAGTGCCCCGTCAGCAGGGCGAAGACGTAATCCTCGCCCCCGTGCCTGAAGGGTTAATGGGATCAATAATGGATCAATAACGGATCAATAACGGATCAATAATGGATCAATAATGGATCGATAATGGGATCAATAACGGGATCGATGGGGTCACAGTGCCCCGTCAGCAGGGCGAAGACGTAATCCTCGCCCCCGTGCCTGAGGGGTTAATGGGATCAATAACGGATCAATAACGGATCAATAACGGATCAATAACGGGTCAATAACGGGATCGATGGGGTCAGCAGATTTGGGGCACAGAAACCTCTGGGACCCCCAGAGCCCCCCCAGGACCCCTAGGACCCCCTGAAATCCCCCCAGGACCCCCGGCTCACCCAGGGACCCCCAGAGCGATTTGCCGGTGGCCGCGTCCAGCAGCGGCTGCTTGCGGGCGATGCTGACCTTGAGCTGCACGTCCTGCACCACGGCCCCGTTCAGCTGGGGCACGGGGGGCCCAAAACAGCACAGATCAGACCCAAATCACACCAAAATCACAGCCAGAAACAGCAAAAATTACACCCAAAATCACAGCCAGAAACAGCACAAATCACACCAAAATCACACCAAAATCACAGCCAAAAGCAGCACAAATCACACCCAAAAACCAGCCAGAAACAGCACAAATCACACCCAAAAACCAGCCAGAAACAGCACGAATCACACCCAAAAACCAGCATGAATCACAGCCAAAAAACAGCCAGAAACAGCACGAATCACACCCAAAAAACAGCCAAAAACCAGCACGGATCAGACACAAATCACACCAAAATCACAGCCAGAAACAGCACAAATCACACCCAAAAACCAGAACAAATCAGACACAAATCACACCAAAATCACAGCCAGAAACAGCACAAATCACAGCCAAAAACCAGCACGAATCAGACACAAATCACACCAAAATCACAGCCAGAAACAGCACGAATCAGACCCAAATCAGACCAAAATCACACCCAAAACCAGACCAAAATCACAGCCAGAAACAGCACAAATCACAGCTAAATCACAACCAAAAGCAGCACAAATCACACCCGAATCACACCTAAATCAGACTCAAAACTCAGCACAAATCACACCCGAATCACACCTAAATCAGACTCAAAACTCAGCACAAATCACACCCGAATCACACCTAAATCAGACTCAAAACTCAGCACAAATCACACCCGAATCACACCTAAATCAGACTCAAAACTCAGCACAAATCACACCCAAAACCAGACCA